AGTGAAAAGGATGAAAGGCCGATGAATCTTGGAAGTGAATGTGGTCGGGACAATCATCGTGTTATTAGTGATGTTGATCGTGGATGTTCCCAAGTGAATACCCTTGATGGTGCTGAAAAGATGGTTGTGGAGGGGGATGGTGATCATTTTTGTGGTGATGGGGATGGTTCGTGTGAAGCTCGGTCGGGTAAGCCCTTGAAGCTTACATTTGGTGATGACGAGGATGATGACGTTACGGGTGATTCAAAAGAAGACTGCGTTCATTCTACATTCAAGAGAAGAAAGAGACGTGGTGCGAAAACTAATATTATGAGTTCGCCCGATATGCTCGAGGCTACGTTGGCTGATAATCATGTAGCACGACAACCCGTTGCTAATGAAACGGCAACTCAGATTGCAAGAGCACTGCGTGAGTTGCCTGTTGATGCACTTGCATCTCTTCTGTTTTGTGCACCGCTTGTTGGACGTGGATGTGTTAATAATTCGTCTTCGCAATCTCAACGCAGTGGACGCGAAAAACATGTTTGTGGTACATCGCGACCAGAAAATCGTCCCAGCGTTGTTGTGCTGCCTGATAATAACGATGCACCCACAATTCGTACTTCGAATCCCCGCGCTTACCTTGCTAAATGGTTTGACGATGCAAAGAAGGTTGACATCCAAAATGTCTTGACTGAGGTTCTTTTTGAGATGTTTGCCAAAAATGCCACAGTTGTAAAAGATGGACGAATATGAGAAAACTTCCTAGAATGGAAAAGAAACAAACTCACTAACATGCGGTTGGAACGACGATCTCCTCTTGTTTCAGACCCGTTGAATGTTTCGGATTTGGAGGCTTCTTCCATGTTGCAATCGTTTTTGAATGATGAGTTCATCACTCTGTCTAATGAGGAGATTGCTAGGATGTCGTTTCATTTGCCGCATTGTCCGACAGAAGGGACCATTCCCCAAGCCTTTCACAAATATGCACGTGTAAAGCAGCTTCTCTAAAGGATTCCTCCCGTTGTTGCTTCTTCCACTCCTCATTATGCTTCGGTCCTTAGAGTTCCCCTTCAAGCAGCGTCTCTTCCAAATTTTCAACGTCTTGCGGATTATGTTTCACCCTTCAATATGTCAACCGCGATTGCCAATCCTTCAATTGTTGTTTCTGCTTTGCCGCCCGCTCCGCCTACTCCGTTTCCTATGAGTTGTGTTCTGCCTGCTCATACGCCATCAAGAGACCATTTGCATGTCCATACAGGACCCTTGGAACAACCAAGTTCTTCTGATTTTGACATCGCCGTGCACGACTCTTTTCAATCTATTGGTCCCTAAAAGACACTTGCACACCTGTCTTATTTTGACAGTTTTCACAGGGGGCGAGATACTGGAAGCAGCAACATTGTTAAATACGAGCATGAACACTTGGAGATGTGTGAACGTTGCAATTCACCTCGATTACAATCGGCAAAAACAAGGTCGATTCGGAACTTTTCACGAGTATCGTCGCAAAGTGATGCAACAAGTTTCTGTTCGTGAGGTGCTGCAAGAGTATCGTTCCAGTGAAGGAAGTTGATTGGTCTTATGAGAGAGATAGGGAACAGAGAGTTGTTGATTCGGTGGTTGTCCAAGTGTTACGTTAATGACAATTTTTTTTATGATCAGCTTCGCTTTTGGTTGAGTAATTGCGCTTGCAAGAAAGATAGGAAGAGAGACATAAATAAATGGGAGAGCGGAGAGAGAGAGAGAGAGAGAGAGAGAGAGAGAGAGAGAGAGAGAGAGAGAGAGAGAGAGAGAGAGAGAGAGAGAGAGA